TAATCAGATTAAAAATTGAGTATTGCTTTCATATCTGCATTGAAGCTGTCCAATCCTCTCTTCTCTTGCTACGTACACAGCGTTGAATGACTTTCGTTTCCTTTGTATTCCATTGGTAAGAAGATCATTCACCTCAGAAAGCTTTTTCCCAAGAACCGCAACCGCGAGAATATTTCCCCGAACACTACACTCTTAACCTCTGCAAACCAAAGAAGATTATCTATTCTCCATACCTTCGCAGTCATCACTTCCTACTTTCTTTTCTTACATTTATATATCACGCCACATTCAGTAACCCTCTATATCGAGGCCTGTATTGGACGTTACTCAACAGATGATATAAGAAATGCAACATCACTCTAATATTACTATTAGGAAAGAACAATAACTCATTATGTAAGGTAGGAGGAAATTCTCATATATACTATAAATAAGAAGTCGTCACTCAAAATATACTATTTGTTACTCGTATTATAAGAAGAATACGGTACTCAGTATATAATAGAAAAAAGAAAAAGTTAATCTATGAGAAAGGAAGGAAATAAGAAAGGAAAAGTTATCGGATCAAGACTGAAAGAAAGGCACGTTACTCAATATATGAGGAAAGAAATGTTACTCAGAATATACTATAAACAAAGAGGTTACTCAATACATACTATGAAGAAGAACACGTTGATCACCTTAGAGTATAATTAAAATTACCTTAATAGAGACGATAAAGAAGAAAACGTAACTCAATTTAAAGAGCAACTAAAGCCACCTTACTCAATATAGACTATAAGAAGAAAACGTTACTCACCTTAGCGTATAACGAAAGTTACCTTACTCAATATAGACTACAGTGTAGAAAACTTTACAGAATATACACTATTTACATTATTCGGACACATGGCACAGTGGATAAAGGCGTTAGTTAGATCCAGTGACAGGACCCAAAGAGTGTGAGTTACCCGGTTAAGGCACTGGAGAACTTTCAGAGGGGAATTGACAGGAGTGTTAACTGATATCCATTAAACATGGCACGTGGAACTTGAACAGTCTACCTCAGTGAGCGAAATAAAGGGTTCAGTTCGACATTCCAACCATCTGAAGAAGGCCGGAGCGTACAACGTCCGAAACGTTGTAATAAATATGGCGACAAAGATGAAGACAATAGTCCGAATAATGTAAATAGTGTACATAATACCTCATCTCAGAAATATAGACAGATACTGAAGGGCCGAAACGTTGTAATAAATATGGCGACAAAAATGAAGACAATAGTCCGAATAATGTAAATAGTGTACATAATACCTCATCTCAGAAATATACACAGATATTACAGAATATATATGGTAAGAAATGAAATATAACTCAGCACATAAGTTTTGAGATTTTGCGCAATATAAACTAAAGAGAAACAATGTTTGTCACTATTAGAAAGCCATTACTTAATATAAACTATTAAGAAAGCAACTACTAAATATATATATAAGAAGAAAATATCCATTACGCAACATAAAATATAAAGAGAGCGTAACTCAGTTGTTACTCTAACGAAACAAACATTAAATAATGTATAAAGGAAATATATACTAAATGCAACTGATTGATTTGATTTTTACGGATTATCAACCCTTATTATTTTGGACTGTAAGAATAATGCGTTATTTTTTTGCGAGTGTATATTGCATATTTTTGAGAGTAACGATGATTTTTTTCATATATATGTCCTACTATTTAACCCGTAGCTAGGGGAGAAGAGATGGATTCGTATCTTCCACTGGTATTTGCGCGTAAGTGAATGTAGAGGATCCGTCTGAAATTCGAACTCTCCAGTTTTACATTCTAAACCGGTATCCATTGCATCACTAGCACATCCAACGTACTAAATTCAAGGAAGACTTACGAAAAGTCTTATCGCTTAATGTAAACGTTACACAATATAAACTAGCAGGGAGGTCACTTTACTCAATATATATTGCAATACAGAAAGCGTTAATCAATAGGTTGAGTACGTCGTTATAGAAGGAAATGTATATTTATTCAGTCAATTATGTGCTATGCGTTAGGCGATCATGTATCGTTCGATACATGACTGACGAGGCAGATTTTTTCCCGCGGTAGGTTGCCATTTCTTTCTGTGGTAGACCAGTTGTCATTCAAGGCTATAGAACCCGGTCTGTTCTGCTATTTTCCCATAGCTGGGTGGGGTGTTAGAAGAAGAGGGTTCATACCTTTCCCAAGGGTATTAGCATGTAAGTGAAATGTAATGGATTTGATTGGAATTCGAGCTCGGCTCTCTGATTCCTCAATACAAGCCGCTGTCCATTACTCCACTATGCTTATATATATATGCATCTAACCTCGGTGTCCCGTAGACACCGGGGTTAGGTGATTTTAAAACTTCCTTCTCCTTCTTGGAGTTGGAGAGCCGCCTTCTGTCGTGCCCACGAACGTACTGCCGGGGACGGAGGAAATGAAAACACGATGCGTTGCAAGTGACCAGTCGGTTTTTCTC